TATATTTAGTGTCTGCGTCCTCAAATTACCCGAGGGAAATTATTCAGCTCATTATCGCCAATTTTCTTTTTCCTTTTGAGTTTCAATGCCATAAAAAAACATTTTAATTTAATAAACAGACATCATAACTCATTATCCCTTCGATGATAACAACCAACCGTTGCCTAGGGATTCGCTTGTTATTCTTCGCTAATAATATTTAAGCTTTTCGATTAGGTATCTAAAGTTGTGTCTTTTAGTTGTTTGTGTTAAAATAAAAATAAAGTTTTTGAAAATTTTTTTTCTGTTCTTTAAAGTTCAGATCTAATCTATCGCTACAAATAATGTTAATAATATTTTTTAGTTTAAAAAAAGTTTTAAGAACAGGATTAAACATCTCAAAGACAAAAAACTACCAATTCAGTTGCTAGTTAATAATTAATATTTAATAAATACACCTATTAGAACACCAAAGCGGTGCTTACAAAAATATTTTATAGGATAATCTACATAATTTATGAAAAGAAAATATCGAAAAATTATCTTTTGCTACTTTTATGGCAAATAAACCAAAAAAAATTAAAATTATAATAGTTATAACTATAGTTTCATTGTATATACTATTTTTTTTTAATAATTTATAGTATATTATGTATTAAGTTTGATAAATGCTTTTTAGTCACGAATTTTTATCAGGCACAAGCGTTTTTTTATATTAACTTTTTACCTTTTTTCCTTTTTGCTTTTTTTGTGGCCATTTTTTCGTTTAACCTGTCTATTTTGCTTTTTTTAAGTGCCAGTCTCTAGTCATATTGATATTGTAGCGAGTACGGCTCTGGATTTCGGAATGATGACTCATCGCCGATGAGTCATCGCCGGTGAGTTAGCGCTCGAGCGATCGAGAGCTGAGTGGAGCTTCGAGAACGTATGCACTGAATATATAAGGAACGACGCATCATGAAGAGTTAGTCAAGCGACGAAATAGATAAATATACGTGCAAGTAGACTCTTGAATAGTAGTGATATATAAATAATTAGTAGTTGTATTTGATTAGTTTTATAGTTTCTTAGTGTTTTAAGTGTAATTAAGTTATTAAATAAATAGTTTAGTTCGTTAATAAACCAGTGCGGGTTTTAATTCTCAATACGAACAGTAAAAACGTTACAATATGTTAAAATATATGTCGGTTTTTAATAATTTTAAATATATATTTTGACAGTTTATTGGCAAATATTCTGACAATTTCTGAAATAAGAATAAACCATTTTTTTGGCTTAATGGCGTTTTAGTCACGGGGTGAAGTTAGCAACAGGTTTTTAGTAACGGGATGAATTTAGTTTTAAGTTAGTTGACAGTTGTAAATGTCATACAATCGTTAAAATAATGTGCCCTTCTGTAAAATAATACTAAATGTAAAAACTATTTTATATGTATCTTAATACAAAAATACAAAAGTTTTAAATAGTTTCTCAACGCCAATATTTGAAAAGTTCATATAAACATTGTACTGACCTTTTAATTTCGCCGGCAGTAAACTGTATTTAACCTTAAACACCACCGTGGAGTGCCAATACAACATTTTCTTTACTCTCTCTGTGAAAAACTGCTTCTATATCGGATTAAACGGTCCATTTTCAAGGGATACATTTTGATTTACAAATTAAAATTTGACATACGAGATTCCCAAGTTACTTTATTGTTTTATGGATGTCGCTCTATACAAATATTTAATTTAAATATTTTTTAAATAATTATAAGTATTTGTCGTAAAAAAAGTATAGTATGCAACTTGTTTATAAACTGCCATTGTATACAATGACATTTATTAAACTTGATACATAATATAATATTAAGTTAATACTCCTAAAACATTGGAAAATTAAAAAATTAGATAATTCTCCTGAAAAAAGGCAATTCTAGGATATCAATGACAGAGTGATTTGGAACATATTTTGTTTGCTGCATTTTTTTCATCAACACAAAATTTTCAAAAAAGAAATATTAAAATAACCATTTGAATGTTATCTAACAACGCAGTATGAAATGATGATCATAAAAATAATTATAATTCTACTGTGGCAGATACTAACCTCAATTTAACTCAAAGTGACAAAATACTAACATCAATTCTTCTGAAAATAACATATACCCAACCTTAACTTTTGTTATTCATGCCAGTGAATCAACGCACTCGATGCAATGTTGTCGGATTTACATTTTATTTCAGTATCGGTAACATTTGAATAAATTAAAAATCCAAAACTATACAAAATGCATAAAACATTTTATTACAAATTACCCACTAAACCCTGTATAATAAAAAAAGGTTTACTTTAACTATTACATAACCTATTTTCTATAATTTTCATAACATTTTTATGGGTCATATTTTTTATTAGACTTGATATGCTTATCAGCATAAAATAAATCCCATTTATTAAAACATAAACACGTTATATAAATTAAAATTTTAATAGAAAACCATTTAAATTTCGAGCTGTACAATAAAATAGGTATTAGGGTTGGTGTGTATCTATATCGTACGGAGTTGCGTATGTAAATTTTATGCAAACACCGCCATTGAAATGTGAAACTTTGGGTTTAATATACGAATTATTCAGTAGAATAAATCCCATCAAATTGAAACGTGTAGAACATTGATGCCGAAATTTCACTCATCGAATTAATATTTAATGTGTTTGCAGGTGAAAATTAAAATTTGTAGTGCGAGTTTTAAAAGGTTGGAAAATGAACCTTTTTAAATTTGTAGTAAAATTAAATATTTTTTTTCCAATACCATGGTCAAAAAGTCGGCTTTTTTAACAGACGATTCTTTAAGTGATTTTAAGACAAAAAGTTTATATAAACAAGATACAGGGTATTTTGGACAAAAAATGTGCGCCACTGACTTTTTTGTAATTTTTATATATTTTTTCGAATTAAGCAACTAAAATTACAACTTTTTGTCTTTTAAATTTTTTTCGTATTTGCTTAGTTTTCGAGAAAAAAAATAAAATTCACTTAAATGCATATCTTATGTGGTCCAGGGATATGCAATTTAGGGGATTTTACTTTTTTTCTTGCAAAAGTTGTATTTTTAGCTGCTTAATCCGAAAAAAACATACAAAATACAAAAAGTCAGTGGCATACATTTGTTTGTCAAAAATAATTGTTAAGGTGTCGTTTGGGACGCCACTGCACTTATAATAATGAATTTAATAAATTACAGGCTAAACAACACTTTAAATAAAACTGCCAAATCGCAACAAAATTGGGTAAAGGATATTTTAGATATTTACGGAATTAAAAAATAATGTTTAACACCCTGTATCTTGAAAACGAATCATTTGCGGATCCTTTTTATCTTAAGAGTCGTCTGTTACATTGTACATCCTTAAGAAACACCTACCTATAATACATTTTTTACCTATTGGAAAAAGTTTTCTTTTTTTATTAATACTTTAATTTTAAAAATTATATTTATTTTTTCTGTCGTTTAGATTCACCTTCTCAAATTTTTCTTCAACAGAAGTTATAAAACGCTTTACAATTCAATTTTTGAGTTCCCATCAATGGTTTGCTTGAGTATATCGAACTTGTAGACTATTTTTGATTTGTTTATTAACATTTTTTGTGAAATATTTTATTTCTATATTCGATAAATTACTAGGCCATATCCACTTAGTGTCAGGAGAATGTTGAGAAATTAAAACTATTGCATTTCAAGGTTTTTGTTAAGGTATCAAACTTCGTCATTTAGAAAATTTTAAAAATCAAAAAAATAACTGTTTTAATTAAAAAAAAATCAAGAGACCCACTATCCATAAAACCCCATCTTTATTAGAAAATTAAACAAAAAATCATGAGAAAATCCAAAAATGTCCAAATCGATCAACTTTGTAAAAAGTTGATTGAAAAAAAATTGTCAAAATTTGAAAATTCGACATCTTAAAAACTATTGGTAAAAAAAATCTAAAAAAAATCAGAAAAGTTAAAGCAAAGTCCCAATTTTAGCAAAATTGAAGAAACAAACTCATTTGATCGGTAAATTTGGGACCATTGTATTTATACTGGGGTAATTAAAATCTAAATACGCACAGAATATAAATAAGTAAAATTTACATCTTCAATTTTTGAACTTGATTATAACCGTACCTATAAATTGTACAGAATATAGAATACAGATTGCAGAGTAGAGAATAAAGTTAATGACATTATAAACCAGCCATAACGTCTTCTAGTGACAACATTGTTTTACCAACTGAGTGTAAAAACAAATATTTTTTTTCGGTAAAATAATAAACAATATTGCTCAACTTATATTCAAAATCAATTAATAAAAACTTGTCAAAATTGAAGGTGAGTTGAACTTTGATCTTTAATAATTTTAAATCAATTGGAAACCTTTTTTGTAGAGCGTTAAATATCCAACACATTTTCTGTATAACCTTTGGTTGGTGGAAAAATCAGAAGGAACAAAAAAAGTTTTTCATGTTATTCTTATGAAAAATCGAAAAGTGCGATGCGATGCATGTTAAAATTAAGAGCTCATATTTTTACAGGCTTATTTTTATACCTAAACGACTTTTGAGCCTGTTTACAAGAAACAAAACAATTCGCTTTTTTTAATCACCTTAATTTACACTGTCATAAATTAATATTAATTAAAAAAGAACAGTTAAAAATGGCTTGGGTTTTCGGTTTTGGGGAATAATTTATGTAAATTATAGTTTTTTGATTTTAATAATAAGTTATTAAATAATAAAATATGTAATAAAAAGTTTGTAGAGGTTTGCCATGTAGCTAAATTATTTTTAGGTTATAATCAATGGCCAAATAAAAAAGCCAATTTGGAAAATAACGGTCATACCAGTTTAGGTATAATAAATTTTAGGACATTGCATTCAAATTTATGTTAAATTTATATTTTATATATTTTTATCGAATCTTCTACACTTCTCCAGAAAATATCAATTCATAAAAAACGCAATATAACCGAATAAATTCAAATTTAAAAATGTCAGGCTCGACTTACCTCAGACGACGTTAGATAACACAACCTGGAGTCTGCACTTTCGATCGAGGCTTGTTGAACGATTCCATACCTGGAGGATTCCCTGTCGCTCATATAATCGCTACGTAGACTGTCCTGCCGATCGAAGATGCCCCTGAAACCAGCCATAAAGTACACTTAAAAACGACGTTACCTTACGTGCCATAAACATCACTTTAACCGTTGAATAATGGTCGATACAGCGTCGCGTACGTTTCAATTTAATAATTGAAATCTTGAGGAGGTAAATGGGTTTATAAATAGAAAAATGAATGTGTAGGTTATTTGAGTAATTAGTAAACAATCAATTTAATAGGCAACAGAAGTAAATAAAATTACCAAGGATAATCTTGAGCAAAAACAGGTGGAATGAGATATCACTTCCAGCTACCCTTACTAAATTATTTGTTGGCACCTTGTGACACATTATTTTAAAGGAAATTAAGCAGAGTAGTCATGGGTTTTAGTTAAAGGGTATTTCCATTGTAACGGGTGCGACACTAAAACTGCGTTTTTTCATGATAATATATTGTTTGTTAATATATACCAAGATAAATGGTATAAAAAATAGTATGAAAAATTAGGTATTTAACTCAAACAAAATGTCAATAAAAACTTGTATGGAAAACCTTTTATAACGTCATGAATAGCGTAACGGGAGCGACCTTAGAAAATCGGCAAATGCGACCAAGTTGGCTTCTAAAGTTGATAATGTAAAATTTTGCATGAAAGCCTATAGTAATAATTTTTTGTGTAAAACTTGAATAGTAACCTTAAACAAGCACGTATTTTAAATGTACAAAAATTGCATACTTTATTTTCTAAAATTTTCTCAAAATTTAACGGGTGCGACATTTGAACATTTTATCGAGTATTGAAACTCTTCCGTGTTTATTCTTAATGTTAGCTTCTTAGCATGAATATTTTAAGGTTATAAATTACGTCGCAATTAAACTATTTGACTTCAGATATACCTATAGGTATAACTATAGGTATAACTATAGTTGTTATTTTGTTAAATAACACATCTGATTTTTTGTTAAGGTGGGGTAAGGTTTCGTGGAAATACCTCAAAATATTTGTGGGTGTTGATATATTAAACTACCTAAATATTAGAAGAATGGTGTATACTTTAGCAGAAAGAACCGAATTAGATTTTATTTACGGATTTGAACCCTCTGAGAGGCATTTTTTCTAAATCATACTCAGTGTCCTAAAAAATCAATGTATGGGTTGGTATTCTTGGCAACGAAATAATTGGACCGCTTTTTATTAAAGAAAACTTGACTGGACAATTATATCTTGACCTTCTTGAAAATGTTATTAATAAAATTACCCAGTCATTAGAAAATTATATAGACGAGCAATAAAAAATGTTGCTTGATGAAGAACATTTGTACTTTCAACAATGATAGAAGAGATGCTCGAGAATGGCCGGCAAAATCTCCAGATTTAACTCCACTTGATTTTTTCTTTGAGGTCATTTAAAAACAAACGTCTACAAAACACCACCTGAGAACATTTAAGGTAGTTGTCGTGCTGTAAGCATTTCATCAGAAAATTTAAAATTTTTGTACACTTATTAAGGACATGACAATCCAATTATCCTTAAAATTTGAAGTCGATTGACCGTCTATAAACCGAGATAAATTCAATTAAAAATTGGATAATTAACATGGATTGTATACGCTTTCTGTAGTTATGTACCACTTTTTTAGTTATAAAAAAAACTAACTGTCAGAAGCTTTCAAAAAACTAACGGTGTTTTAATGTATTGTTGCTGAGTTAAAAAAAAATAATTAAAAATTTTGTACCGTCCAATTGTTTATAAATAACCGTTTAAAGTTCAACAATTTGTAAAAAGTATACATCACTAGTGTCAGATAAAAACAACTTGGCAACGCTGTACGCGAGTAGGTATAGATATTATTTCCGCAGTAAATTCAAACACACTGATTCAGTCTCCAATATATCTATTGGTTGAGCATAAGCGACGTTGCCGGATTAAAACTTATGTAAAGTATTACGTAAAGGTAACGTCTCCAGGGTACAGTCTTGCGAAAAAATTATGAATCCCTTAGCTACAAGCTCGTATACTTTTACGGTGCGTATAATCTAAAAATTTTTGACAATATTGTACCACGACAACTACCTTACGAACTCTAACGAATAATAATTTAAGAATGTAGGCAGACAACTAAAACGTTTCAAAAAGCTCGACAGATTGTATTATTGTTTAGCAAATAACGGAGCACATTTTAAACATTCAAAATAATTTCTTCATGAAATTATTTGTTTTATTTCACACCTTTTTTGGCTCTAATTTAATTTTTTTTAACTTTAATGGATCCTGTTTTTGCTCCAGATCATATTTACTATAACTCAAAAGTTTTTAATTGATATCCCTGTATAATATAATGTTACACACACTAAATCGATTTATGACATGGCAAAAAAATAACTTAAAACTGGTAAAACTAAATAATACTCGTAAATAAACAAACATCAAAGGCTCAAACTGAAATTTTACCAAGTAAAAATTGTGTAGAATATTTAAATTAACGTTTTAATAAAAAAAAATATCAGCTTTTTCATTCCCTCTCAGGCTTAATCATGAAATGAAAATCTGTCACGATAAAATAAAAAATGCGTCAGTTTGAAAAAGGGTTATATCGATAAAAATCGCCTATGCTGTATAATTTAAAATACCTCAGCGCCAAATGAATATCAAGCAAGCTTTGCGTACGCGAAACGTCGAAAATAATAGACAGCCGTGGATTGACGGAAAACAATCTACTTTGTGGCCCACGTCGCACGGTGGGCTGGGCCTGGCCAAAAGTCCATAAAGTATCAAAAAAATAATACACCAATGGAAAGAAAAACCCTTAATTTGTTGGATTCCGAAAAAATAAGTTAAAAACAGTTCGGCTCCAGCTCTCGAGAAGACGAGTCGCGTCACGCGGGCGAGCTCTTGAAACGTAAAAGTTTAAAGATGAAACCAACAATAATTAAAAAAAAAGGGGTGCGAACTGATAAGTGAAACAAACATTTTCATGGAGTGCAAGCTAAATGGTGTAACGGTCATTGAGGAGTGGAGTGTTGGGTAATATGAATGACTTGGGTGCCACCTGTCATGGGAGGCTTTTCACTGGACGGACGGGGGAGGTCGGAGAAGAGGGGAGGTGGCCATCCGCAAAGGGAAAAATCTGATAAGTTTTACTTTAAGAGTATGCATGACCTGATACAAATCTGCAATATAAATACGGCAAGCATTTTCCGTTATTTGTCACCATTAACATTGCCCGTATTCATTTCATTAAACATAACATTTATTTTACTTGAAAATGTTAAAATAACTTTAAAATATGATTATGTTAAGAACTTTAAACAATTGTTTTGTTTTTAATTACTATCATTGCAAAATTGTATTAAAAAGTGTTAAAAATTCTTACACGGGCAATGTTAATGGTGTTAGGTATCGTTAAAGTGTTTATTGGGATATCTTTAAAACCCATGAAGGGCACGCGGCGTGGGGCAATAAGTCTGTCAACAGCAAATGCGTAAGGCGGTCCCAATCGAGACCGAAATAAACACTGGACTGACAGAGTAAACTAACATTGAACACATAATTCTAACACATTAAAAAAAAGGGCCTAATAGCCAAACTCGAGATTTGTAAACATTAGACAACAGAATAATCGCGCTTGTGATTTGTTTGACTAGTGAATAAATGCAAGCTTTGGAATTTGATAAACAAAGACGGAACTCTACCACAAAATGTGCTTGGGACAAAAATATTAAAAACAACTGACACACTTTACCAAGGGCAGGAACTATCTGACCAGAACACGGACAATGACAATGACAATAACAATGACAATAACGAACAAGACAGCGAAATAACAACTCCCCAACTCCAAATAGTAATCCCAAATGTTTGGAGTATTACTAATCGACTGGTCTAGGGGGATTCCGCGTCGTACTTAGTTTTAAGTCGGCGTAATTGTCCCCCAAAAACCAACTCCCTCCCGTCCCTCATCCATACCCCACCGAGCGTATAGCATAGGCTCGGCGAACCCGGGAATGGCTATTATAACTATTCGCCTCTCGCTCTCGAGCCCCAAATAGGGGACAGTACGGAACGCAATGGACATTCGCACCCAGCAAACACGGGTGAAGCCGTGCAGTTGCTGGGAAAGAACAAAAATCGGCGTAAGTAAACATAGGCCTGTACGGGGTTCGAGAGTCAAGAGGAAATGGGGCTGGTTATACGTCTCTTATACTCATACTCATACTCATACTCATATACTCATACTCATACTCCGAAAAAATAAGTTAAAAAAACATTTAATTTCAAAAAAAGATACCACCAATGGAAAGAAAAACCCTTAATTTGTTGGATTCCGAAAAAATATGTTAAAAAACATTTAATTTTAAAAAAAGATACAGGGTAAAGTAAAGCAATACAGAAAAAATTCAGATTATAGATTTAAACGGAAATTTGTCTGCCTTTAAGGCGCGCTGTTACTTCTAATACATAACACAAATATAAAAAATATTGTTCAAATTGAAGATGTAGGTATGTAATACGATATTGTATGTTTCGTAAAATTATTTTATAATAGTACTTATGTTACCTACTTATAAAGTTATATTAATACCTTGTAAAATCAATTTTACACTTAACAAGGTATAAGTTATGCGGTCCAAGTTGGTCCAAAAAAATGTTTACACCAAAGCCCAAAGAATAACGAATAATACTATATATGGTTATGGATACATCTTTTGACACTTAAGAAAGTTATAGTGGTTTATAAAAAGGCCGCGCGCTAAGAATTTTGTATTTAAAATGGTTAAACAGCTATAAATTGCACTTATCCTATGATTTTTTCGTAAACCAAGACATTCAAAAGATATCTTGGGACAAATTTTATAGATTTTTATATTTTTTGTTCAAATTGTTATCACTCCCAGAATAGTTAAGATTTTAAAATAAGTAGTATAAATTTTTATTGGAAATTAACTGATCTACAAAAAAGGTTTCCTTAGTTTTTTTGATAAATGTAAGCGTTTTTTTATTTAACAAGGTACCGTAAAAAAATATTAATTGTACTTCGATTTTTTAAATATTTTAATAAATTTGTGTTCTTTTTTATTAATTAAAATTAGCTTTTAACTATTTCACATTTTGTTCTAAAATTTTATTTCAAAATATTCATTTTTTTAAAAATATTCCGGTATCCAAGCCTCTTGGATGAGACATTTAAAACATTTATTTGTCATGTAAATAATTATATCATTTATACCAATGAATTATTTAGGGGAAACGATTTAAAAAAAACCTTGTTATATTAAGAGCTTGGTATCTTAACTACTAGACCTTACGGGATATACTTTATATTAAATAAAACTTATTATTATTCCGCGTGCGCGTTTATCTTTGAAACGCTTACATTTATCGAAAGAACAAAAGGAAACTTTTTTGTAGATAAGTTAATTTTAACAAAAATATGCACTACACATTTCAAATTCCTTACTATTCTGTGAGTTATAAAATTTTGAAAAAAAATGTATTTTTTTCAAAATTTTCCAAACTAAGCTAAGATATTTTTTGAATGGATATGTTCACAAAAAAACATAAAATACATTTTTTGGAAACAAGGCTTTAAGTCAATTATTGAGGTCACAAATTAGTTTTGACTAGAAAAGTAGCATTCCAACCCACCGTGCGTCGCGTCGATGCGAAAATGACTGCAAAAATAGAGAAAATATACAGTGCTTGCAAATCCAAGTCCGACCGGTTTGGGAAGAACGCGTGAAAATAACAAGGATAGAACGCCAAACAGAAGGCGCGTACAATACGCACGCCTGACGCTCTGACCAATTAAATTCTGTTTGGCATTCTATCCTTATTCTTTTCACGCGGGTATTGAACAACCATCCTTCCCAACGCGGTCGGACTTGGATTTGCAAGCACTGTATGTTGAAAAATACATTTTTCCAATATCTGAAAATTTTTTAGATATTGTAAAAACGTATTTTTCAACATATATTTTCAGTGAAAAATAAGAGCAAATTAGTAAAATAATGGTAATTTTTTTAATTGTGGCACGAAAATTACCTTATAAAAATTATTGGCTACCCTATAGCAAAATTGCTGCCGACCAGTGTATTTAATTTTTAAACCATCATATTGTTTTATTAACCCTTAAATTCTTAGTCTAAAAATGACTGTTTAGAACCGTGTAGCCTTATTATAAAAAACATCATGTAAATATAGCATATTGTAATATTTTTTAAAAGAACAATTCATTTGAATCTTTGTGCAAACTCAAAATTAACAAATCTGTTCTTCTTATTATTAAAGGTAATGTAAAGCTATAATTAACAACAAACAGACCGCTTAGGGCCTCAAGTTATAATTTAATTAAAACTATAAACTGGATATCAAAGGATTGTAAGGAATTTACAAGTTTATAAACAAGTGTACAGTTTAATGCGTTTAAATGTCCCCACAAAAAGTTTTGACGACAACAATTTAAAAGTTTTAAAACATTAAAACAAAATGAAGTTTCGGTGTCAAAATGTTAAAAAATATATATATTTTAGTTTGCAAAATTTTAACCCGGACAAAGTAGTTTTGTCCCGTAAATTTTTCATCAAATTACGCGGCTCATAAGCGAGTTGATTAACTATTTTTACAGCAGACGCAGTAATTCAAAAAAACAAAATAAAAATGGCAACTGTCAATTTGCATTTTAGATGCAAATTGATGCACAAACTTTTAAATTGGTAAATCACATTATTTTAATTTCGTGCTGATATCAGGAATGCAATTTAAATTTGAGTTTCAGAAAAATTAACATGAATATTTTAACAGGTAATGAATTAAAATTCAAAAAATTTCAGTGGAAACCAAGAGCGTCATATTAATACAAAACTCGTTTTTTCAAATAAAAAAAACATTTTTTGTTTTTTTTTCACCACTACAATATTTCGCAATAAAGTATATATTCAGTCAATAATTAACATTGACTATTTCCCTCGTCTTAATTTCCACCAATCACAAACGTGCAATTTTGAATTACAAATGGTATCTAGGTGAAAAACTGTGTGACAGCACCTGTCAGCAGTTTTTTCGAGTTTACCCGCGGCAAAACTTTACAGCTGTTGTCACCAAATATTGCAATTTATATTTTAATTGTTAACTGTTACTCATGAAATAGTCTTGTCAAATACCATTCGGGCATCTAATTTTTCCTGTGAAAAAAATCAAAAAAAACACAATGCTAAGTAATATTTTTTTACAAAATGCATTCGTGCAGGTGCAAAAATCCTCCTCTTCGACTCGGATTTTTGTTGCCACCAGCACTCATGCTTTTTGTTAAAATTGCTAATTAGCAACGTGTTTTTTCTTTTTTTTTCGGAAAAATTAAATGCCCTTATGATATTACTTACGATAATATCACAGTTTTATTTGTTTAACGATACAATTATAAATTAAAAGTATAAAGTCAGGTTAGATAGCTTGAGCTGTCATCAGTTATCGGTTTTTTTACAGACTGATTGGTCTAAATTATTTTTACAGCCTAGAAAATAATCGAATATTTTGGTAGTGAGCAGTGGCGTGTAGGTACAGCAAATTTTAAAATTTGGTCTAGTTTTAGACATTTACCGTTCTTTAATATCTTTTTTAAACGTTTCTATTTTCAAATAAATGCAAGTCATTTGAAATAATTGTAACGATAAAAATTATTTCTAATTTGCTATTAATATAACCTATGATAATAACACGCAAAGCAGAATCAGTATGCGGCGCAGAGCACAGAACAATTTGCGCCGCAGACAACGCATAGCGGAAAGGTGCGTGCAGAAACAATTCGTATTAGTTCACGGCCTCGTTGGAACAGGAGGGTAATCAGGAAAATTTTAATTTAATAAAATGAAATACAAACAATTAAATAATAATATTATTTATTTAATTTCATAATATGTTTTTTGCTTACGCATGCCGAAGCCAATCGCCCCCCCCCTAGCCGGGGGCCCCGTATCATTGATACGGCTGATACCGCGGTAGTTACGCCCCTGGTAGTGAACGTTGATAATAAAGCTTAAATTATATACATACCATAACACCTGAAGATAAAATATCTTATTGGTTCAAAGTTTGATTTCCTATGATTATTAATTAGTATTTTTCGCTGTAAACGGTTGACTTTAGAGAAAAAAAATAAATACTTTTTTTGCAAAAAATTTAGCCGTCTGCAAAAAGTCTAAAATTAATGTGGTCAAAATTAAAAATTTTGTCAAAAAAATGTTTTTCAAATTTTCAAAGAAAATGTGTGGAAAAAAAATTATTAATATTCATTTATAAACATTATTTTGTTATAAAACCATCAATCTTGAAATTTTGCTAAAATTTTAAATATTGATGACTAATTTCGTAAAATATTAATTTTATAGATTTGACTGACCTTTGAAAATATATTTCACTGCTTAATTAAATTTGTTTTCTTTGCAAAAGTTTGTAGTTTGTTAATTTTATTTAGTAAAATTTTAACATAATTTTTTGTAGAAAACTAGGGTTTGTAATAGTTTAAATAATTAAATTTAAGAAAGGAAAATATTTACCGAAAGTTTTGTAAAGGTAATTTTCAATTTTGTTAGCATTTTGTTAATTTCAAAGGTTACAGATTATTTTGTTAATGTTAAAGTCCACGTGATTTCAGGCAGTCAATGAAAAACTTTCCCAATGACAATAGGTACGCATTAACAAGTTCAACAGATTTCAGCGTCTGCAACTTATGTTTCAGCTTACTTTATTCTAATTCGTAATGTATTCGTAACAACTGTCCTGAATGTTTATAATATATAACCAGAAATCTAATAATATTGTTATTCGAATTCTTTATACCTATTCAACGAGAGTGCAAAGTGCGAAGTACCCGAAAAAAGATGCCATCACTGGTTTTCAATCTGAAATTATGGGATACAGTGAAGTGGGTTAAAGTTACGAAATACATCAGTAAGTGTTGTAGTAGTACTGATAATTATATTGTACCAATTTTTTTTATAATTTGATGATTTCAGAATTGTGTGTTATTTTATTGTGTGTGTGTTATTTTTGTGTTCATTTATGTAGGTATGTGTAGATTTTTTTGTTTAGGAAATTGAATAATAAAGCAACATTTCTTATCAAAATTCTTTCATTTGCAACAAATAAAATTACAATTTGTTAATGGGTCTACAAAAAGGTTTGTAAAAATAGGGTCCTTTTTAAAAATTACAAGAATTATAGTTGAATTATTGACATTCTGTTTTTTACCATATTTTAAACTTTTTTGCATGAAAGCATATGCTATATAAAAACTAAATAACTTCTCTATTTTTTAAATAGTTTTCATATTGCATTATAAACGTTTGTGTGAATGATATATATTTAAACTTGCATTTTATTTAGTTCTTACTTTGCCCCACTTTACAACATAACCTAATTTCCACTGCACCTACTTTACTATCTGATTAAAAAAAACATTAAAACTTTAAAACTATTTAAATACATTGCAGCACGAGTGTACACTGTACAGTAATGCAGTTTACAGAATTTCATAACATTTGAAACATATATTAAGTTTTATACTTGCACACAATATACCTATACATGGTGTTCTAACTATATTTACAATTTTAGTGATGAGTTTTTGCTTACCTTTGTTCGAAACTATCCGCTCGATTGCTCTTGTACCCGCTGTCGTTAAGGCTGCTGTCCTGCCTCAAGGATGGCAGCGAGTCCCAAGGTGACCTTTTGTGACCTTGAGGAAGACCTTGTCCGGAGCCGAAGTTGGAGCTGCCCGAACGCCACCCATCTGAATGGCGGAACCACTGGGCTCGGCTGCTTTCGCCTATGCACGAAGCGCAGCGGGAACTGAAGCTGAAAGTAAAGTTATTTTTAATTTTTTTCGTTAGCCTTTAACCCAGGTAAGAAAATGTATACGGTTTCCTATTGGGGGATATCCATTAACTACGTGAGACAAAAATGGGGGGGAGGGGTCCAGCGAAATCTCACCAAATCTCATTTTAACTTTTGAGTTTAAAAAATATGTATTATAAATTATAAATTATATAAATTATAATTTATAATACAAATTTGTTAAAAAAAATAATCTTTTTTTTAACATGTTTTCGGCAAATAAAGTTTAATGACTAAAATCTCTCAATGCATCCTTCCAACCCAGTGTATTTCAGAAACAGAAACGTAAGGGTTTTTATGTGCCTTATAAATAAAAAAAATGGATGATCCACAAATATAACGGAACAAACTCTTGCAATAAAGGGAAATATAAAATTTCAATTTATATTTCCCGAAAATTAGTTTAATATGCAGACATTATTAAATAAATTGGAAAGCCACCGAAGAATATAATAGGTAGGGAGAAATTTTCATTCGAAATAAAATCAGAATCAGCCAATTTGAAAATGTATGCAGGAAATCAATTGGAAATATCAAACATCCAGAAATGTGGGATCAAGTTTATAAAAGTAAATAAAATTTTGCTTTGTATGGTTAAATCACAATCCTCTTTTGTAAAAAAACCTTATTCTATCAGAGCTGTCATTAAAGTGTCAAATGTCAATTTTAAGGTTAATTTGTGGGTTATGGTAAATTAATCTTAAAATTGAAATTTGACAGTTTGATGAAAGCCCTAATAGAATAGGGTTTATTTTGACAAAAAAGTTGTTCTTAAGGCCTCATTTGAGGCTTACAAGTGCCTCTGTAAGAAAAACGTTTAAACACACAACGTTTAAAACAACGATTTTTAATCTGTATAACAGCACAAACCCAAAGCACAAAAATTGTAAACAACATAAAAATGGCCGCCGTTCCAGTCTGTGCAGTGTTGCAGTGATTTTTAGTATGCGCGAAACGAGATAAAACAGACCTTATTGTGGCTTAAATGAGTTTTTATTTTTAAATGGCATTTTTTCATATTCTTTTTATTCTTCTTTTTTTTCTTTTTCTTTTTCTTCTTGCATTACATTATATGGGTTTTTATCTGTATAACCCTCCATTATTTCCGTCGTAAGGCATCAGTGGTTGGCCCATTTTTTTATTTACTATGAATTGAACCAATCAGGTAGTTAAAATTCCAAAAACATCATATTCGCCCCTGGTATACTAAATATAATTTGACGTCCGTCAAATTATCTAAACTCACTAATTTCTTCTTTATTTCTCCCAATGAGAATTATTTGAACCAAACAGGTTTTAAATTGGGATAAGGCGACTATAATATTTAAAATTGGTAAAAAGTAAGGTTAAATATTTGACAGATGTCAGATTTAATTTATTTTTGAAATTCATTTAATTTTATACCTATTGGAGTAGATAAAGCAATACTATGCTATACACTTGAGATTATGCGTAATATTTTTTGTATATAAAATCTGACATCTGTCTGGTTAACTTCACTTTTTACCAATTTGAAATGTTATAGTATCCTTCTCCCAATTTAAAACCGATTGGTTCAAATCACAGTGAATAATGAAATCGGCCAATCACTGATGCCTAACAATGTAAATAATGAGCTTAATATTCCCGTTGTTAGGCAGGGAATTTATAATGTTTTTCATTATGCACGGAAAAAAACCCAATATTATGCAATAGAAGTAGATAAAGTAAATTTTTATTTTTTTACATAAGTATTGAAGTTGGAATGTTTGTCATTAAATTTGCAAACGCAAAGTTTCAAACTTTTTTATAATTATTATCATCGGTTTCACACTATAAATTATAATTTATAGCCAAGTTGATGTTTACTTTTCAAACTAATTAAAATGGTTTATACAGGAATATATTATAAGGGACCTCTGATCAAACATTAGCTTAAGATATAACATTTACAAGCTCAAAGATAATGAAAATTTATTGTTTCAGATTGTTAGTTAAATTTTCATTTATTTTATAACGGATTGTGTATAGGAGGTCATTAAATGACCGTCATTTGTCTCTTCTTACCTGGAGTTATGGTCGCTCAAGTACCCTCTTTCTCGTTCCCGTTCTCTTTCCTTCTCTCTTAAAAGTTCGTTTCGGTCGCTGTAGTAACCGTCGCGTTCTCTGTCTCGTTCGCGATCTCTAGAAACCTGCCCGGCTCCCAGACGATGCGGCAACGTCGACGACTTGTTCATCGAGGCGCTAGAAGACGGGCCTGAAAAAGATTTGTCTGAAAAATGCGTTTAATTAGACCCTACACTTTGCAAGTCATTAGTCTAATATTATGATAATTAACTCTTTTAAAACAAAAAAAAACAACGTAAACATAATCATTAAAATAATAATAAGTTGTTACGTCTTATTACACTGTAGGGAGGTGAAAATATCACAGATAAACGCTCGGAGGACAGGTAAAGTTAATTTTTGGTCGTAGATTACAAATCCGTGCTTGGTTCAGGTCAAAATTCAAAGATATTGAAAACACCCTGTATAAAATCCAAATTAAAAAAAAAAAATTCCTGCAAATTTTGAAGTAAATTGATCAAAAGGAACACTGTCTCTGAGGGTTTTTCTTAAATAATTTAGGAAATTCAAAATTTTGTTTGCTATTTTTTATTGAGTAAAATTGAGGATATTATATTAAATGAAATAAAAAACATAGGAATGTTTGCAAAAGAGGTAAAATATATTATTTTACAAATTATAATATACCAGTATACAGTGTGTCCCCGGATTGGATTTCCGATAGTAAAAACTTTTTTAGACCTGATACAGCTAAACCGAGCACGGATTTGGCTGTGATATTTCAAGACTTAAAAATTTCCCTACTGTGCTATTGATAAAAATATTAAGGTATATAGTCTACAGAAAACAATTATTTGGCTTCTGAAGAATACATTTTAAAATGTCTATGACTGCTTTTAGATTTTTATTAACTGGTAAACGCCGTTCCTTAGTAATTGCAATTTCAATTTTTTTTATTTACAATCTCAATAATGTATGTTAAGTAAAATAAATTGGGTATTGCAATTACAATATTTTCGGTCCTTTATCATTAAAAATGTTACTAAAGCCTTTCATCCACTTGCCCCTTTAATTAGTTTATACTATTATTGTTTTATTACTTTTTAGTCTTGTAATTGTGGGGGAATGCAATAGATAATGGTAAGGAGTGTAGAGAGGTAGGTATTTGAAAATATCTAAAAACCATTCAAAACCAAAAATCGTTATAACTTTGTTATTCTTGGCAGTGGCGGCTGGTGGATTTTACATATGCCATATCTCAGTTATTAGACATGGGACCCACACCTAATTATTTATTTAGTGTCATTATAAACTAATATAAAGTTCTGCGCAAGCAGAATTTAAAAAGAAGTTTGAGAAAAAAATTGTAGTGGTGCAATTTATAATTAACCATAGTTTATTGACAAATTTTAAGATTTATTAAAAAAATCCAAATATTACATATTTTATCCCATTTTATTTTTTTATTATTTTGGAAAAAGAAATAAAAAATTATGTAAAATGGTAAAAAATCTGTAATATTTAGAACTTTTAAATAAATTTTGTTGACAAACTTTGGTAAATTATAAATGGCACCACTAAAATTTGTATTATCTTTATTAGGGGGGGGCAGGCTGCAGGGTAGGCGTATCTTTTTTTCGCAAACTTTCATTTAAATTCTGCTTGCGCAGAACTTGTTAATTTAGTGTCATTATGAACTTATATCACAAAATTTGACTCAAACCGTATTCAGAGAATGCAAAATTCATGTGTTCAGTTTATCTGTGGAATCCGTAGGGAACACCATACCTCTCAAAGCCTTAAAAATATTAATTGGTTAAATATGTCGGAAAGGAGATAGTTACACTGCCTTACATTTTATAATGACCTTATTAAGAACAAGAGTCCTGAATATTTGTACAACACCATAACATTTAGAACTGACGTACATAATTTAAACATACGCTACCGATATAACATAACTACACTCTACACTCAACAGCCATGTTTAAAAGAAGTTTTAGTTATAACATTGCGAAATGGTACAACTTGATACCTACACAATTAAAAAAATTAAAGGGGAACCAATTTAAATCTGGATTAAAACTTATAATTAATGGTTTAATTGATATTTAAGTTGAAGGGGAATTAAAATGAATTAATTTTATGTTATTATTTTTTTTTTATTAAAGCTGTTTTATTGGATTTTCATTGGTTTTAGGCCAAAATTAAATTAGGTTAGGTTAGTTTAGGTTTAGGTATAGGAAGGGTTAAGTGGAAGAGCAGCAAATACATGCTTTGTATAAGCTGAACTTCGCCCATTGATTGTATCTCTTATAATCAATAAAGACATTTATTATTATTATTATTATTATATAAATGTGGGTCCCATGTCTAATAACTAAGATATCGATATCCGCCACTGATTCCTGTGAATTTTAAAACAAAGTAAGTTTTGCATGTAAAAATACACATTTATCTACATTTCCATTCAATTTTTTTGCTGCTATGTTTTAAATTGCAATCACCATATTTTTTTTTATTATGGCTGCCATAACTTAGTTTGATACATCGTTGGATTCCTTAAATGTTTTTATATCTAACCATGTAAAATTTCAATATGGCGACCATAGGAAAATCAAAACGTGCTGTTATCTCAAAATCTAGTAGGCGAAAAAAAATCACAAATTGGATGAAAATGTAGATAAATAGTATGTTAACATGTTATTTTTTTTTTATTTCAGGAAATAACAAAGTTATAACCAATTTTTGTTTTGGCATGTTTTCAGTTTTTTTTCAAATTATTTGAGAACCGTTTTTTTTTGAATTTTTAATAGACTTGTAATTATTAAACTTTTTTTGTAATTAAACCGACCTTGACGTTCTTGAAATAAAAAAGGGGTGACGTTCATAATATCGAAATTCACTTTATCGAATTCAAAATATCGAACACTTTTTATCGAAAATCAAAATATCGAAAATACAAAATGTCGAAAATCAAAATATCGAAAATTAAAATGTCGAAAATGATAATATCGAAATTTTATTTAATCGAATTTTCAATTTATCGAAAATAAAATATCGACGTTCATAATATCGAAATTCACTTTATCGAATTCAAAATATCGAACACTTTTTATCGAAAATCAAAATATCGAAAATACAAAATGTCGAAAATTAAAATGTCGAAAATGATAATATCGAAATTTTATTTAATCGAATTTTAATGTGAAACTAAACCATATTTTCTTATTTTAAATTTGATATTTTGTTTAAATATTTCAATTAATCGACATATTATTTTAATCCGAAGTGTATATGTATAGAGGCGCCTCTGATATAGAAATGTACTCAAACTCAACAACACAACCCAACCGACCCCGCCCCAATGGCCCCCCCCCCGCCCCATTGAGCAAAAAACCCAACTAAAATGGGCTAATTTATGTAATTAAAAAGTGTTTTATTTTTATCGTAACATGAATTTGCCCATTTTAGTTGGGTTTTTTGCTCAATGGGGCGGGGGGGGGCCAATGGGGCGGGGTCGGTTGGGTTGTGTTGTTGAGTTTGAGTACATTTCTATAAAACGCGCATCTCTAGGAGCCAGGGAGCCAAGATAATTCGGTGCATAACCGTAACTTTATCTACAGAGGCGCCTCTGTACATATACACTTCGATTTTAATCATACATTTTAATTTTCGATATTTTTAAATCGATATTTTAATTTTCGAAATTTTAATTATTCGACATTTTCAAATCGACATTTTAATTTTCGATATTATCATTTTCGACATTTTCAAATCGACATTTTAATTTTCGATATTATCATTTTCGACATTTTAATTTTCGAAATTTTAATTATTCGACATTTTCAAATCGACATTTTAATTTTCGATATTATCATTTTCGACATTTTAATTTTCGATATTTTGATTTTCGACATTTTGTATTTTCGATATTTTGATTTTCGATAAAAAGTGTTCGATATTTTGAATTCGATATAATGAATTTCGATATTGTGAACGTCACCCATAAAAAAGATACCCATATATAGGAGGTTAATTAATACACCTTCAAAAGTATATGTACTCTCTACAATCCTTACTAATGTCAATACTTTGACAGGTGTTAAGTTGACAGTAATAGATGATATTTTGCTGGGTCTCCCTGTATATAATAATTTTAGGTTGACAAATGTCAATTTTATTTTGTTCAAAAAAAATAATTTATTACCTACTTTTTTATTCGGAATTTAATAAAGTCAAAAGTTTGGGGGTTTAGTTGGCAAATTCTAGGGACCACAAATTTATAATGGTTACATTGTGTTAAACAAATTAGTTTAGTGGAGAATAAAATTGCGGTTGTGTTATAATTATAAGATTATGTTCAAAAATTTTGGAAATGTCGAATATTAGTTGTTAAAAAATGTAATAACTTTACAACCCAAAAAGAGGCAAATTTGTATTCCCCGCATATTATAATTTTGACAGTTAAACGACAAATGTCAAAGTATTTAAAATTAAGGACAGAAGTACCAATTTTAAATATTAAAATTACCAAAGTATATTAGCATACAATACTCTCTAAAAATGAAATAGTCAAAATTCTACTATTTGAATTAGTAAAAGCATTTTTTACTAATAAAATAGTCGTTTTCACTTTTAAATAGTTATTTTTTACTATGTAAATAGTTAAAGTTTGACTAATTTAAGATTAGTCACCATATTTGACTATTTCTGACAGTTAAAAGTAACTAATTTCTTTAGTCGTTTACGGCCAACAACAAAGTATTATTTGAATTAAATGCATATACTTACCTCTCCATGGTTAAATGACCCATAAAACAAATAAAGATGCAAAAAGTTTAGCTCAAAATAGCAAGACAAATAATATATTAAACTTTAAAATATTATGAACCATATTTATTGACAAATAAAATTAATTTTTATAAGAGCGGCTGACAGCCGAATGCGTTAAGACGTTAGCTTGGCAAACTTGTCAGGTGACAGACCTGAGTTCAATCCCAGGCTGGGTCAAAACTTTTTTTAAATTTAAATTTACTAATTTGACTATTTCATTCAGTGGAATTTGACTAATTATTAGTGACTGCTTTTTCACTATGACAATTAGTCAAATATGACTTATAATTAGTTATTTTTGACTAATTCATTTTAAGAGAGTACCAACATAATCAAAAGGGTAAAATTCCGAATAAAAAAAGCGAACTTTATAAATTGCGATGTGGATAGATTGTATTGTCATTCAGTTCTGAGCTATGTTTGAAATGTATAGCTTTTTGGGAAGTTAGTTTAAAATCGATTACAAAGTTAGTAAAATTTATCAGGAAAGCGTTAATAAAAAGGTCTAAATAATAAAGCACATTTACACTTCTTAACAAAATCAGCCTCCAAAAAAGTCAATATGTTTTTATTTGTTTGATAATTTTAACTGGGTAGTCTAAAACTGAAAAAGTATTACAAATATTATGATTTATGATTATTATGATTTTGCCAAAGATTTGAAATTTTAAAATTTAAAATTTTAAAGATTTTAAATTTGAAATCCCAAAAACTATTATGGAAAATTTTCAAAAAAAACACTAAATCTGACATCTGTCAACTAAAACCTAACTTATTTTTTTAAAAATTATGTAGAAATTAAATGCAGGATTTCATATTTTTCGGACGTTTCTTTATTTGTGTCCTCATTTAGTATTTGCCCCATATACAGTTCTGTCGAATCAATGATTCGATGTTTGTTGACGACTTACGTTTTCTCCCCGGATAAGGACTGCGCTGATTGGAGCCTGGCAAACTTTCTGCGAACTCTGCAACAAGACGAAGAACAGAAATTCACTAAGAGATGGTGCAGATATGAAAATTAGGAAGTTTATTAAAGGCGGATTAGTACTTTTCCAATAAAACCGGATAATATCCATTCCAAGTTTTCTCAAGGCTTACTTTGACTTAGCTTTAATCGAATATCGAAGTTCGTTCCACAAGTATTGTTTTAATTAGTTTTTTGTTTTATAGTGATCATCAAAGTTTAAAATCTTTATTTTTCTAAACGTTACATTTAAATTCTCATGTGGAAATTTTTTTTTACTCTTTTACTTAGGTTTCCAATATTATATGATTTATACAGGGTGTCATCCTTTAAGGGGATGATAGTATACGCCAAAATAAGAAAGCATAAGTGCCATTTTTTTAAATATGCTTGCACAGTGGGCAATAATCTACATTCATTAAAAATTTACATTTGTGTTATCATTGATTACTCTTTTTGTTTTGCACACTCACTATTTTTAGGTACTTGAATAAAACTATACTCACTTTTTATTGTTAGGTACCTCGAGGTTTCCGTGGTTTTCCCGTCGATTTTAAATTTCACCTTTCACGTTTAACGTCGATTGATGCTCATGTAAGTGTTCCACAAAATCATAATAAATGATAAAGCTCTTGCTATCATATCCGGATGATTTCGGATTTCATCTGCCACTGCAGTGACAAGTTTACGGAGTTGTTCTAATGTGTCAACTTCGCTCTGGTACACTAACCTGTTTATGTAGCCTCAGAGAAACCACAATAACAACCCAACTGTCAATAATCAATGATAACAAAGTACCTACTATCCGATTTTGAATAAGTTTAAAAATTTGCTTGATTGCTGTGCGCATTCTTTTTTGCTTGGATGAATAATATCATTTTTTTAGAAAATAGGTCAGGGACATCCAGTGGCTCCCTGGTTTTGTTAAAAAATTCCATATTTTTTTATTAAAAAACAGTAGCTCTTATGCAAAAATGATAGAGGAAAAACTTTCTTGTTTTGGCGTGTACTATCATCCTCCCAAAGTATAAAAAATTATTTATTTACTCGGTGAACTTCGTTTCACCTAATAGTATATTATGTATCAAGTTTGATAAACGCCATTTTATACACAAATTTAATTTAGGCAAGAGCGAGCTTGCGAGCGAGTGCTTAAATTAATGAAAGTTTATAAACGAGGTGCATACTATACTTTCCTACGACAAATACTTATTATTATCTTAAAATGATTTAAATCAAAAGTTTGTATGGAGCGCCATCTATGAAACAATAGGGGAATCTGTCTGTCACCGTTAAATGTCAAATTTTTATATTTTATAAACACAGATTATAAAGGGTATAAATCGAAATGTATTTCTTGAAAATTGACAGTTTTTCACAGTGAAAGGCACTTTATTTTAACGATTGTATGACATTTGACAACTGTCAACTAACTTAAAACTAACTTCAGCCCGTGACTAAAAACCTGTTGCTAACTTTAGCCCGTAACTAAAGCGCCATAAAGCCACAACTTGTCAATGTGTATTTAAAACCCCACTTATTGTCATGGAAACATGAACGATAAACGGCGTTTTAAAAGTGGGAGTAGAAAAAATTCTTTATAAGCCATTATCAACCCAATTCATTGAACACTGTAACCCCATCTATTTAAATTAATTCAAAGTAGTACGAATTTTGATTTTCCGGTTGTTTCTTTCGGTTTTTCCTAATGTATTTTTTATTTAAATCAGCCCTGTATTGAGGCGAAACAAAATTATTTAAATCGGTTGAGCCATTTCCGAGTTTAACAGTTATTTAATTTGAAGCGCAGCTAAGAACGCCATTTATTCAAATTAATCCAAATTTGTACGAATTTCGATTTTTTCGATTTTCCGGCTGTTCCTTTCGGTTTTTCCTAATGTTTTTTTTTTCAAAACCACCCCTGTATTGAGGCGAACAAAAATGAATGAATGAATGAATTTGTGATTATGTTTTTTCATTTAATTTGAAGAGCAGCTACGAACGCCATCTATTCAAATTAATCTAAAGTTGTACAAATTTGGATTTTTTCGATTGTCCGGCTGTTCCCTTCGGTTTTTCCTAATGTATTTTTTAATTTAAATCACCCCTGTATTGGGGCAAACAAAACAAAATTATTTAAACCGGTTCAGCCATTTTCCAGTTTTTGCAAGACTTACGAACGGCGATTCATTTATATATATATATATAGGTATATATATAGATTCGAGATTCATTATCATTGTCAACTTACCAAGATTTTCCATACTTTGTGTCAAAAGTGCCTCGAAAGTATGTAAACTGTAACTTTCAGCATCCATTCCCTTAGCCAGTGTATTCCTTAAATGCATCTCATACTCTAAAAGCAATCGACTTGTAGGTGAACCAGGAGTTGGGGTGACATTAGAATTCTAAAAAATACACAATTATCAACTCAAAAACATTATACATTATACACTGTAAAAGAAGGGCTTATTCCAAATAAACATATGAACATGTTATTTAATATCCATAACTTACTTGATGGTGCATGTGTCTCTGTCTTCCATAGTGATGAGCAGATTCGGGATCAGAGTTCCCATTGCTTGAGCTTGGCGTGGTGGCGTAGCATTGGTTATCAAAAATAACGTTGTCGGATGGTGGAGAGAGGTCGCCACAAGCGCCTCTTTCCAGTTCTAGGTAGAGACCTCTTCCGGGATAACCGCGACCAATTTCGTGCGAAGATCTGTAATTATAACTGATTTATATGTGTTAGTTGGGTGATATGAAATGTGTATGCTGGTGAAATATATGACAATAATGAGGAAAATACTTGATTGTCTATGAAATGCCCAAGGGTTTGATTTTAGTGAATATAAAGCTACGTCCAACTTCGATAATTCAAACCATGACTTGCCACAAAAAACTTCGAGTTAGTTCAGTTACTTTTGGCGCTATTGCCAACCAACTTTGAGGTATCGAAGTTCGAGTTATCGAAGACTTACAACATTTTTATAAATGTAACAAAAATATGTTATTTTAATTGCCAAAAACTAACTTAAGACACCCCTTCACTACTCTTTCTACCAAAGCTTCAAACTAAATACCTCGAACTAGCAAATCTAGAGTTCTGCGACAAAGCCGATCTAGGATGCGGATGACCTGGCTCGTCCGCCAACGGCCTTCCGTTGTTATTGGGATGTCTATGATGGTGCTGGGCATTATAATAATTGTACCTCCTTCGCCCCATCTCCGGGGAAGTAACCGGACTCTCGACGCTGGGCATCGGTTTCAACATCCTTTTCAGAGTGTTGCTGTCGAGAGATATCGGGTTTTCTCGGTTCATATCCTCCGTGCTAAAAATTATAAATAAGTAATTATTTATGAATATCTAACAATCAATAAAGCAGGGTGCTGCATTAGCTTACCTCTTGGATTTGTTGCGACGGTTCGTCAGGTTGTTGTTGAGGATGTTGTGGTGATGGGCCCGCAGTTCGGCTTCGCGAATGTCCATGTCGGAGTAGTCGACTGACTTCGTGTTGGTGAGCACGTGGTGCACGTTGTCCCTTGCCGGAGGTCGAGTGGAAGTCGATGAAGATTTCGTGGAAGATTGCATAGAGCCTCCGGCTTGCGTGCCCTCGGACTTGGAAGATTCGGCGGGTTGGGTTTGAGATTGGGATTCAGTCTGGGAAACCTAAGAAAAAGATGTCAAGGCATGGCTTGTTTGAAGGTTGAAGGACGTTGTTGCTTTTACCTGTGAGCCTACAGTGCTTTCGGTACCAACGGAGGCTGTGACAGTCTTTGGTCCTGCAGTTGTGTTCGTAGTCATGGTACTGGTGTCAGATTGCTGCGGAGCACCGCGATCGCGCTGTTGTCTCGTTTGGCTGCCCTCCCTTTGAGCCCCCTTCGTACCTTCAGTATGAAAATATTTAATTATAAGAAAACACATTTACCATAATTAATTTCAAAACTACGAAATCCTTTGAATTTTTTCTTAATACGTAAAACTGAAAAAGCATAATTAAACGGCATAAGAAATACCTTTTTTGACTAACAATTTATTTAGGCCATAGCCAAGTTAAAAAGGCCTTGCTAATGTGTATGCATATATACCTTGTGTTCCAGTTTGTGTAGACCCAACATTATCGTAAAGACTTGTCGAAGAAGTAGCAGCCGTAACTTTATCACTTTTTCCTTCAGTATCCAGTGCCCTGGTTGTCGCTCTCGGTAAAGTTGAAGAACCTGTAAGACAAAAGTTTATACATTTCAAATGTCGAGCTTGTGCGAATTTGTATAAGAATTGTGTAACCTGATTCTTACATTGTTTCAGCTACCAACAAAAGTTTCCGTGATAAATGTATAATTTCTGGCAAAAGAATGCCTACGACAATACCAGTGCCGGGTTACTTAAAAATCACAATCATTTTGTTATGGCAAGCTTTTTAAGATATCAATTCCTAATTTCTTTTATTTGTTTTTCGAAGGCAGCTTTACAATTTGGGTCATATCTCAAGTTAAAAAAGATTAACTTGGTTGCAAATATAATCGAATCGCCGCCCACTATCATTCTCTTAATTAATCAATCAATTAAGTAGTTTGCAAACTCTCTAAAAATGAATAAGTCAAAAATGACTAGTTACTACAGATATTACTAAAAAGACTAATTTTTGTTTTTCGCTGAAATTTCAAAATATTGTTTGAGCCCTTAATTTTGATTCTAAGTACTTCTTTTTTCATTTTCATTTTTTTCCATTTAAAAAGCATGTATTTTCAATTACTTTTTTTAAATTTCTATATCTTTGCCGGGGTTTAACCTAAGAATTTAACGCTTTTTAAAAGAGCCTTTAAGAATGTTTTTTTTAACTTGATTCACCTTATTGGTATCAGCTCTGAAAGTCATTTTGTTTACTTTTTTACATATTTTTGAAAATATTTGGAAAATGGAGATACCATGGTATCCCCAACATTTAATGGCCAATTTTTATGTAAAATTTCCCCCTGAATCCGAAAATACCGTTAATATTATATTATGGATCATTCCATCGTTTCGGGTGTTATATTTGTTTAACCAAAATATAATTTTTTATGTATTTTGAAATAACATTTTATCAATTAAAGTGCCTTATTCTCTACGTTTTTAGTTGTTGTATCTAAATTGTAAAATTAGTACAGTTTAGCATATAGGATAACGATTTAATAAGTCCTAAAGTGTGTGTTTCGGGTGTTTCACGATTCCGCCCCTATGTCCTAACCATTGTTAGATTTATTTGAAATTCAGCGAATTTTCTTAGGGAAACATTCCTAAAAATTACAGGCCTCCAAAAGTATAATATTTACTAACCATCTACCACATAATCACTGTCACAAATAACGTTTTACTATTTTTTTTATAAAATTTTACTTTTTTTTCGGGTGTTAGCATGGTTCTGTTTCGGGTGTTACAAGTACAAAAATTAAACACTTTATATGGACAAAACCGGTGTTTTATTAGTATTTAAGTACTACAAAATAAGTAAGTAAAAAATAAATATAAATAGAATGAATTCTCCTTTCACATAACTTAAGGAGCTTCGGGTACGATTGATAAATCGGCAAAACGGGTAAAATCGTTATTATTGCCAAAAATCGGTAAAAAAAAAGACAATTATTGACGAAAATCGTAGTATTTGGTATTTTGGTAGGTCTGTTGCTATTTCGGTAAATATACCGAAATTTCGGTAGGCTTTGTTATCTATGGGTTCGACAACACCATCGTAAAAGCAGTCACACCTCTTTAAAAGAGGTGTGACTGTTTTTCCGATGGCGGCGCTAGTGTCCATCGAAAGAACCTTCAAAATAATACTTATTGGATTCTTCAAGCAATACACACACATATATCGACAAATAAAAAAAGTTGTAACACCCGAAACGTTTCGGGTGTTGCAGTTTTTAATCAAGAAAAAAACATATCAAATTAGTCTTAATATAATTCTGTAAGGTATAATAATAAAACAATTACCTGACTTTTCGTTTCGTTTGTTACAGTTACACTTATAACGTAATAATTATCAATTTTTTCAGGACTGTGACGCAATCCACCAATATACGATAAATAACCTTTAATCACAACCTGGCAAAACGGTAGACAGATTGGCAGTTATTTTTTTTTCGTATTTCCAATAGTTGGAGGCACAATGGTCATTTAGCCAGTTCACTTGAGTACAGATTTTGAAGTCTAATTAACTTAAAAATTACGCGTTTTTCTAAATTTTTTTTGTCGCACATTTTAATTTAATGCGAAAAGAACATATTTATTTTTTTACCATCAGTATCGTGTCATGGAATGACTCTTATATAAAAAATTTACTATATTTCAAAAACTGTTCTTCTTTTCCAACTCTTCACAACAGGGGACAATTTTACATGGAAATTGTCTGCTAAATGTTTGGGATCAAATTGCTATTGACGAGAATTATTAGTGGCTGCTTTTTCGCTACGATAATTAGTCATTTTTGACTAATTTATTTTTAAAGAGAAGAAAACCAAAGCTTAAATTTAACTTTTTGTTTACTTTTGGGCTTTTACATTTTACGTTATGCAATGAATTTACAATGTAATTTTGTAAAAAAAGTATTGGTCACTGATAAATTAATAACTGAGATTTACTTTCTTCAAACATTTAGAAAATTGCCACCTTGGTATCCAAGCGGCCAAAAGCTTTTGACTGCCTTGAAGCCGGTCCTGCATAATGCATATTTTATTGAACGTACTGTACGTCGGTAGTTTGAATGAAAAATATGATATTTGTCAAGATTAGGAGGATGGGCAAAAGAAAAGAAGTTCCATAAAGTAAGTTGGAAAACTCCTTACGTGACAGCACTATTTTTCTTAGTCTTATCTGCATGACCCTCTAAAAGTTACGATACAGCCTGCGAGACTACAATGGACCCTTTGCTTCTTAACGACTCTTCTTGTCTAAATTATTTATGGCGCGATTAAAAAGTAAAAATCTCTCGTTTTTTCTCGGCTCGCGTTATTTCTTTTTCCAACTATTTTCACAGACTTGCCAGTTTCCCTTCTTGGTGCTAGATTGAATACATTTTAATTCGGTTAGCTCGCTCTTAAAACTTTACAAATTTCCTATTAAAAGTTCATTAGCAAATCTAATTTAACTCCGGTTCTATTCAGCTTTATCAAACGAAATGAAACTTTAATTAGGGTTTTCTTTGCAATAAATAATTATTACATAGTTGAAGTGCATATTGAATGATTTAGTAATAAACAATATTTGATAGTTACGGTTTCAAAGGTTTTATAATAATAATAATAATAATCTTTATTGTCCAACAGGATTCTCCCAATTACAGAAAAATGGTATAAATACATTACAAATATATTCAACATACAATACAAAAAATTAAGAAATAAAAGAAAAATAATACAATATCCTTTAAATATATCAATTAATAGCTTGTTTCCATTTTTGCACATGATTGTAATGGGTGCTTTTGATAAAATATTTGTTCTGACAGTGGAAATTTAAAACAGAATTTGAGAGAGAAGTTCTTGAGTTATTTCTCGGAACATGAAACTACATCTTCGAAACTAGATATTCAGTCAACTGCACCTCTTAACAATTTCGTTAAGAAACGTGCACTTTGCAAATCTCGCGTTGTTTAAGAGCATTATGTTGTATTCACTCATAATAATGTCCAGGTTATGAGTAGATTCCATGAATTAAGAGATGAATGTATTTTAAAATTATTCTTTGAACTCCATAAATACTTGTTGTCTCGCTGTAACAATTCGGCATCCAAAAGTGTAGATATTTTTTATAGACTTTAATGTCATCTGCATAGGCCAAAGTAAGACAAGAGCGTAATGCTAGTAAGTCATTAATGTGCAAATTAAATAGAATTGGACCTAGATTGGAGCCCTGGGGTACTCCAGAGCTGGCAGTAAAAGAGCATGAAGAAAAACCATTATAACTAACGTGGCATTTTCGATTAGTCAAGTATGATTTAAGAAGTTTTATGAAATTAGAAGATAACCCAAAACCATTAAGTTTTTGTATTAAAATAGAATGAGTAATGTTATTAAAAGCTTTCGATAAATAAGTGTGGAAATATATTGAGTGACAGATGCCAAATTAGTAACCGTTGACCGTCCTATAAAAAATCCATGTTGATAGGGTGAGATAAGTTATTTGGTATTGAAATTTGTATGGGACATAATTTGATTAAAAATTAATTTAAAAGTACCTGTCATAGAAAAAAATCATAGAGGCTAAAAACTGACGTTTATACATTACAGAATTTAAATGTTTCTTTTAGTTTTCGAAATAATTGGCCTGGGAGTTTTTATTGAAACACCCTGAATACAGTAGACACAGTTTCAAAAATGTTAATGTAAAAAATAATCCAATCGTCATTTTTATTTTTAATGGTAATGTAGTTTGAATACATTAATCATTAAAAATAAAATTGTAATGAGAAATATTTTCATTACTCATTAAAAAATTAATGAATAATGTCGAACAATACATTACTCATTAAAAAACAAAAAATGAGTAATGAGAGACCGTATATTACCCATTAAAAAAACGTGTAACGAAAGACCCATTACATCAGTGAAAAATAATCAGGGGTGGGGGTTGATGGGCTCTTTAAACTTTTTTGTCATCATCATAAATGATTTACAATGAAAGAAGCTGCAAAAAAAATTCCTTTGATAAGATTAGTAATTTTATTAAAATTTAATCTTTTCCTACTTTATAAAGGTGACTATTAAAATAAAAAATATACAATTTTTTTGATGAAATTGATTACTTTTAAATAATAAATTATTTCCGCTCACAAAGTCCATGATTTTTATAAAAGATCAATATATATTGCAAACTGGGCCAAAATTAAAAAAGTGTTATGCAATAAAAATATTTTCCTTCCCAAAAAAAATTAATAATTCGATACCTCATTCATTTCTTATTAAAAATAAAAAAAATAATAATGTAAACTGATTACATTACATAAAATAATTTAATTTAAAATCTCAAATTACTGATAACAAATTAAAAATGAGTAATGTAAAAAAGAATACATTACTCATTGAAAAAATGTAATGGAAATTAATTTAATTTCCATTAAAAAATAAGCAATGCATAATGAAAATTAAATCTACAATGTTTAACAATAAAACTAGCAATAACATTACCACCAATTTATTAAATAACTTTCCCATGACTTTAATTACATCTTCTTCAGTTGCCAGATTCATTGAAAAATTTAAATTGGATAATTATGTATTTTCGGTATGCTAAGAATTGGAATTCAAAATACATGGTAAAAACGTTGACAATATCAGAAGGGTTTGTCTTCTAAATAAAGGGTCCCTGGAATTCGTGTTGTATCGCGTTTTTTTTATTTACATATATAGCTCCATAAGGCAGATAGGTTTGTTTTAATGTTTTCTTGCACTTTAGATATATAGTTATTATAGGCATTATTAATTTGATTTTTGGTTTGGAGACGAAGTCGTTTATATTCGAGAAGAAAGAAAGTTTGCTTGTTTTAAAGCCATTTCTTTCTATATATTTTTTTGTTTTAAGGTTAGTTTTAATTTGTTTGATAAACCAAGTAGTAGTTTTATTTGTTAATAGTTCGGACAAGGTTCTGAGTGCATTTTTGCTTAACAGTGCAGCTGCACTTATAACCTTGTCGTTTCAAAGTACCGAGTTTTGAATACTGGAAAAAATACCTCTGTATCTTGGGTCCTGTGCTCTCAGTCTTGCGTACTGTTCGGCCGTCATGCAGGTACACTGCGGCTCGCGGCTTCTGTTCGGCGAAGCTGGCGTGCTTAACGGTTTTCTCTTCGTCTTCAGCTTCTGCTTGTTCGGCGGCTCCAGCTTCAGCGAGTACGATGAGGAGGCTTTGCGCGAAAACTTAAACGACGGCGACTGCAACAGATCACACTGCGTTTAATAAGCATTTTTAAACCATCTACTGGTCAAGGGGTGATGGATGAGGTGAAGTGAACACAAGGTAAATATGTGAAAAGTTTTTAAAACATCCTATGGGAAAAAATCGTTTAAAAAAAAGACGATCGTCTGAAGAAGATCGTCTACTTTCAAACGAAATCGTTTAATTATTTAAACGATCGTCTTTAATCGTCTAAAATAATAGCCGACCCTAAAGACGATCGTTTAAAGTGATAAACGATACAAACGGCGTCTAAAATAATAGTCGAAAAAAGACGATCGTTTTAATTAAAATTTTAAGTTATAACTTAACCGATGAGAAAATATTTGTATTTTGTCATAATTATTAATTAAATTAATTAAAAAAATAATTTTTAAGATCGATACCTTCCTACTTCGAATAATAGACAATTCCAAATATTCCAAAGTATATTTGAAATTCTTTATTATAATAGAGAAGAATTTCAAATATATATTTCGTCTGTAAGGCCGACCGCCTAACCTACGCAACCGATTGAATCGTTTGAAAGTCGATCGTTTGAAAGACGATTGTTTGAAAGACGATTGGACGAATTCGCGTCTAAAGACGATCGTCTTTAGACGATTTTTCCCCATGGGATTTATTTAAATCTCTCTTCTTTAAACCAATAAAACCTGTTCAAATTTGTCTTAAAATGTATAAAATTGTTTTAACTCTATTAAAACGGTTTCTCACTTTAATAAACTGTACCAAATCTACCGAAGATAACACAGGCCCACAAAAACAAAAATTGGAATGAACTTTACATGTGAGTATACTACCCCTATAGATTTTGAGCCGCTGAATCCGGTCTCAGAATTTCCCCTGGACCCCCAGTTTTTCCCTAGCCTAGGGGAAATGAGTGAAATCTCAGTATCTGTGAAAAAATTTTTTATATACGCAATATTTTAAATAAAACGATAATGTTTTTACGTATCTCGAGTCGCTTAGTTCGAATCTCTTTGTAGAATTTCCCTAGAGTACCTCAGAATTCCACTAGCCTAGGGGAAAAAGTGTTAAGCTAAGCAAAACTTGTGATTTCTGGAAGGTTCTATTTTTGGGCAAAAAAGCTTATGTATATATTTTCGTATTTTGAGTTCCTGAATTTATATCTGACGTAAAAAATGTTCCACAGTACTTCCCTTGCCTAGGGAAAAACTTAGAAAATTGTGCAAAAATCGTTTCATGCAGGCCTTTTTCGTACGGGAAAATTGATAAATTTCCGTCCTGAGTTGCCGTGTTCATTTCTATCATCGAAATTTTTATTCAGATTCTCATAATTATCCTAGCCTACGAAAAATTCCTTGATATTAGTTTGTTCGTCTTTTCCTTGTTCTTTTATCGTCAAACGTTCGACAGACTGGATTCCTGTTTCTTTTTTTGCTTTCACCTGCAACATTCCTCTTTAACAACCAGCAAAAATCTCCCATCATGTGTTCATCCCATCGTCTCTGATAATGTCGCTACATTTCTTTGATATATTGGTGGAAACGTTCTCCTTGTTCCTCACTGTAATCACCAAGATTTTCAGGGAAGTGTTCTGGAAATTTTTGCAACATAGTTTTCACTATTTTCTTACAGTTTTCGCTTTTAAAGTTACCTAAGAAATTTTCCCTTATCTTTGCACATAGGGTAGGGCAATTTTGAGGAGCTGGATAAAAATTCTGATGACAGCAAGGAACACAGCAACTCAGAAGACGTAAAGATATCAGCTTTCCCGTACGTAATTTAAAAATATTTTTACTGCTTGTAAAATAAAACCCATGCAATTTAAGTGTTTTGGAACTGTCTTTAAAATTAACCCAAAACCTTAACTTCTAAATTTGTATCACTCTAAAACAGTTCCTGGAACAGTTTTGTTAACTTGATTTTGTAGTTTTTTAAGAATTATTTTGTTGAAAAGTCAATCAAAACATTTCCCACTGACAATACGCATCAACAAATTCAACTCACTTCAGCTTCTGCTTACTTTATTCTAATTCGTAACTTCTGGTTGAAATGTTGACAGGATTTTGTTATTAAATATAGAAAATGTTTGTTATAATTACAAACTGCTTATTCAATTAGTTAACAGATTACAGTTGGTTGTAAACTTAACATAAAGTTATGTGGACCTGGATTAACATAAAATCTGGTTAATTTTTGGTTAAAATTAACAAATATTTTGTTTGTAAATTTTCAATATAAGTGCCTTAAGCGCCTCAAGCGGCATGCGCCACTTAAAGCTCCTCCCCCAAGGGCTTGCCAAGGGATGATTTCTTTTAAAATAGTTAGTCAGGCTACTGTAGCCGCTCTAGAAAGGAACATTGTTAAATAATTAAGCTACCATTTAAGTCATTGTATTATTCAGCAGTTAACTGAATAAAGAGTTAAGTTTACATACTTCGTGTTCAATTCCTTTCTACTAAGTATCACAAAACAAACAACTTTACATTGGTCCTTCGAACCGGATATATACATATCCAAAGCAAACTTCGCATACATACACAACGAGTGCTAAGTGCAGCGAACATTCATTTCGTATCAAACGTGGAATACATCGAGCGCTAAGTGCAGCGTACATTCATTTCGTATCATACGTGGAATACATCATACATATCGAGTGCTAAGTGCAGCGAACATTCATTTCGTATCAAACGTGGAATACATCGAGCGCTAAGTGCAGCGTACATTCATTTCGTATAATACGTAAAATACATCATAAACATCGAGTGCTAAGTGCAGCGAACATTCATTTCGTATCAAACGTGGAATACATCGAGCGCTAAGTGCAGCGTACATTCATTTCGCATCATACGTGGAATACATCATACACATCGAGTGCTAAGTGCAGCGTACATTCATTTCATATAATACGTGAAATATATCATACACATCGAGTGCTAAGTACAGCACTGCATCTACACATACGCATTGGAATAAAACATCATCGTCGTATAGGATATCCCATACGAGTCAGAAAGTGAGTACCTTCCTTTACATACTATTTTCCTTTACATAAGTCAGTATTGATTCGCAATCAACATGTCAGAGTTAAGTAACTTAACGCGAAAACGCGGTAGTCTCAAAACTAAATTTACGAACTTTTCGAAATATTTAAAATCAGTGGAAGATGAACTGAAAAATAGAATTTCTACTGCTACTGATACAGGTAGCATCGCGTTATCGGAAGGCACTATAGCCGCTGTTAAAGAAACATTAAAGCGCATAACAACGGCATTTTCTGAGTTTGAACAAATTCAGGATGAAATTGAGCAATTAGTAATTGGGGACGATAACCTCCCCGAGCAATATGCCTACCGAGCCGATATCGATAGCACTTACCTTGATTTATATAGCCGATCACAAGAAATCGTTCTCGTACATAGTCCCAAACAAATTTTACCTAGTGATAGCAGTAGCAACGGCGAACCGCCGGGCTCAAACGTATTTGATCTAAGTAGTACGCGGTCAAGTTTTTTGAAATTGCCAACGATTCCATTGCCTATATTCGACGGTACTTTGCTAGACTGGTTAGAGTATCGTGAAACCTTTAACTCATTAATTAATAATAATTCTAAACTAGATCCCATTGAAAAATTCCACTATTTAAAATCATCAGTTTTAAAAACACCTAAGGAAATAATAGAAGGTATAGCGTTTACAGCTGATAATTATACCCTAGCTTGGGATTTAATCTGCGATCGCTTTAATAATAATAGGCGTCTCATTGATTCACACGTAGAAGCTCTTTGTAATTTGCAACCTCCTCAAAATGAATCAGCTTATTTATTAAGAAAGGTTCTTGATGGCATGAATAAAAATCTGCGTGCGTTAAAATTATTAGGTCAGCCTACTGAACACTGGGACACATTAGTAGTCTATCTCATTTCGCGTAAATTCGATGAAAAAACATTTAGGGCTTGGGAAGAATACAAAGCAGAGCGTCCATCAACGACAATTAATGACTTAAAAACATTCTTACTCAACAAGTGCGATTTGCTAGATTCTTTAGGTCATAAATCTACCCCTAATAAAAATAACTTTAAATCCATTAAAACTACCTCTAAGAATTTTTACGTCTCAAATACAACATGTACCATCTGTAAGGGCACTCATCCTACTTACAATTGCAAAGAACTAATACATTTGGCGCCAGCAAATCGCCTGGAGTTTGTCAAAGCTAAGGGGCTTTGTATTAATTGCCTTAAGCCAGGTCATAAATCTATCGATTGTAAATCTAGTAACTGTAGAAAATGTGGTCGCAGGCACAATACTTGTTTACATATGGACCGAACAGGTACACGTAATTTACATGACATCAATCCAGAATCAAGTAGTGCCAATCATGGACCTACCTCGAATTTAGTTACAACAAACGCTAGTAATTCATTTCATCAAGCTTTCAATGTTCAAACAAATACGCATGTATTACTTTCTACGATTTTGGTTAAATTACGTGATAGATTTGGTAACACTTATTGGACAGCGGCTCTCAGTCTAATTTTATAACGCAAAAATTGTGTAATAAGATGCACCTGTCAAAATCGGAAATTAATCACAGGGTTAGCGGTTTAAATTCGGCCTCTACTCAAATAAATTACCAAACAAAGATTCAATTAATGGCTCGGCATAACAATTTCGCACTAGATCTCTCTTGCCTAGTTATTCCAAAAATATCAGACCAACTTCCTTCTATATCATTAAACAATGTAAATCTTACATTGCCAAATGTGATTTTGGCTGATCCTACGTTTACCCGACCAGGCCCTATCGATATATTAATCGGGGCTGGTAACTTTTTTAACATATTGTCGGTTGGTCAAATCTCATTAGGGGCAGGAAAGCCAATATTACAAAAAACCCTCTTTGGGTGGGTCGTTTCCGGACCTCTACAGCTTCCCAGTCATATAATAAATCAATCTGTATCTCAATGTAATTTTTCGAACGACTTAGCTCATAACTTGTCCCAATTCTGGGA